TTTTTTTTTTTTTTTTTTTGAGACATAGCCTCAAGTTATCACCCTGGGTAGAGTGCCGTGGCATCACAGTTCACAGAAACCTCCAACTCCTGGGCTCAAGCAATTCTCTTGCCTTTGCCTCGCAAGTAGCTGGGACTATAGGCATATGCCACAATGTCTGGCTACTTTTTGGTTGCAGCTGTCATTGTTGTTTGGTGGGCCGCGGCTGGATTCAAACCCACCAGCTCAGGTATATGTGGCTGGTGCCTTAGCTGCTTGAGCCACAGGTGCCAAGCCTAGTTTTTCTATTTTTAATAGAGAAGGGGTCTTGCTGTTGTTCAGGCTGGTCTTGAACTCCTGAGCTCAAGCAATCCATCTGTCTCGGCCTCTCAGAGTGTTAGGATTACAGGCATGAGCTACGGGCGCCCAGCCCCAATACCATGTCATTTTAGTTGTGTTGCCTGATTATCTGTTTCTACTGTAAGGAAAGCTATTCATTTTTGTAGGTTGAGCTTGGCCACCTCTAAATTTATATTTAGTTTCTTGGGTTTTCTTCTAAGAGAATGATCAAATAACCAGCAATGGTTACTTTTGTTCCCTTCTGATAGGTACAACCTGCTCCTTGCTGAACAGAAGCAGTGCTAGGTGTTCATGGGTTGACATTCCTTAGAAATGTTTTACGTTTTGGTTAGTAAGTGACATTTGCTGTAATTTTTGTGGTATAAAAATTTTCTCAACTTACAGGAGTTTTCTTCCTTTTGTAATTTGCTACTAATTTTCCCCTCAGCCTCCAAGGAATTTTTGTTCAGTTCTACCAGGAATTTTTATTTGAGACAGAGTCTCACTCTGTCACCCTGGCTAGGAGTACGCTGGTGTCATTATAGCTAACTTCAATCTCAAACTCCTGGGCTCCAGCTCTCCTCCCGCCTCACCTCCCCAAAGTGCTGGGATTATAGGTGTGCACCACTGTGCCTGGCCCCTACTAAATTTGTTGTTTTAAAATCAGACTTAGGTAAATGATGGCCTAGAGGCCAAATATGGTCTTCTGCATTTTTCGGGGACCGCGATGGAAGAGTGGTTTTGCAGTTTTAAAAAGTGGGAGGAAAATCAAAGAAGAATATTTTCTGACATATAAAATGAACCAAGTTCACATTTCAGTTTATTCATAAGTAAGTTGTAGCCAAACATAACCACGCTCATATGTTTACACCCTGTCTGTGGCTGCCGGTGCATTCCAAAGGCAGAACTGGGCAGTTGGGGCAGACCACATGTCCTGCAAAGCTGAAATATTTACTGTTTAGCCCTTTACAAAGAAAGTTTGCTGACCCTGGTCTGAGAACTCAGTGATGACATAGTTACCCTCTTTTATCATATCAAAGTATCAGATGGGATGCTTTCAGCTGCAAGCAATGGAAACCATGACCCAAACTTGCTTAAAAATAAAAATATTTATTTTTCACATCTAGACAACCTCCAGGCATTGTATGATCATTCTTCACAGCCGCTTCTCTTGGCTTTGCCACCTGTATTAGTTGTCATTGTTCGTCAGCGTCCTCCCTGCCAACACCAATTCTTTCAAATTTGATTCTCTTAGTTCTTTGTTGCAGTTTGGCCTGGGGCTGGGTTTGAACCCACCACCCTCGGTATATGGGGCTGGCGCCCTACTCACTGGCGCCACCCGATTCTCTTAGTTCTTAAAAATGAACCAAACTGACTTGACGACCCATGTGGGATCATTTGCCCAGGTCCACCCATTCCTAGCGATTCGTACTATGGATAGGATTTCTGCTTTAGCAAATGTAGTTTAGGAACATATTAATCTGACTTCCAATCACACGATCAGGTGGGTGGACATTACTGGTGCCATATGCAATAGTCATGTCCCAGGCGTCAATGATACCCACATTGAGATCTTCGAAAATATCCTTCATGGCGAGATATTGAATGTAACCATGGAAGTCTCCAAACCGCTCCGTGTCGATGTGCATCTCCCTAATGTTTTCTGTCTTAATGATCACTTTCGTGGTCGGGCTTCTCAGGAACAGCCGTTCAATAGCCTTTCGGACGCTGATGGCCCTGCGAAGGAAAATGTCAAAGGGGAAGGGTCTGAAGTGTTGGCCAAAGGTGATGACAATGGCTGTGTTTTTGTCCCCTGGTAGCCGGTCAATTTCCCGAGACATATAATTATTATCTATCTGAGAGTAGAGTTGCTGAGTGACAAAAGGATGGCTGTGTTTTTTCCATTGGATCTGAGTGTGTCTTTCTGCATCCAGAAGTACATGTTTCTTAAAAACTCCAGTTTCATGAAGATCAAAAAATTTTAGTGCTGGTTAA